TGGAAAAAAAAGCTGCAAGAAAACTGCTCAATGAAATTAAAGAAAAAACTGAAAATATAGCAAGAACTAATGAAGACTGCAGTTTTGATGAATACTTAGAATTATTGAATGTAGATGAACAATCTTACATGACTGCTATTCGTTCAAATTTAAAAAGACCTACAGTATTTTTAAGAAGAAACGTGAATGAAAGACGAATCAATGCATACAATAGAGAAATGCTTATTCTATGGGAAGCTCACATGGATATACAATTTGTTGTTTCTCCATATGGTTGTGTAAAGTATGTAGTCTCTTATGTATCAAAATCTCAAAAAGGTATGTCAAAACTACTAAAAGAAGTTGCTGATAGAGTAAGTAAAGGACATGAACCTACCATTAAAAAGCTTAGAAAAATAGTTAACGCTTTTCTCAACAACTGTGAAATTTCAGCACAAGAAATAGCATTACATGTATTAGGAATCCCTATGACCAAATCAAGTATAGGTAACATCTACATCAATTCTTGCCCACCAGAGGAAAGAGTATTTCTAAAAAAAGGTAAAAAAGAATTGGAAAAATTATGTGAAGAAAATCCTGACAGCACAGACATACAAGAAACAGGACTAATTGAACATTACATTCAAAGGCCTGATATTCTTGAAAGTACATGTCTCGCTGATTTTGCAGCATTGTACACGTATCACAAACATCACCCAAACACTAAAAATGTAAGTACAGAAGATGTCCCCTCTGACATTGAAATTAATGACGATGAAATTATTCCAGAGAAATCGGAAAAAATTATGTATGAGTTAAAAAACAATTCAGGATATTTAACACTAAGATCTAAAAGATTAGTGATTCAGTTTAGAAATTATAAAGAAGGTGAAGACACATTAAATTTTTATAGAGAAAATATCATGCTATTCACTTCTTGGAGAAGTGAACCATTATTGGAAGATCCTAACTTACAATTGAAATTTAATCAATCTTTAGATCAAATAAAACATAACAGGAATATCTTCTGTAAGTATGATACAACTTTTGAAAATCTAAATGTCGATTTGTCGGAAGAGGACAATCCTGATGAAGACACAACTGACTCAGTTGCGCCAGAGTTTAAAATTCTTGATTTAAATGAAGTTCCGTCAGATTTTCAGTTGGAATTTCCAGATCGTCCATGCTCTAACGTTCAATTTGAAAGTACTCGTTTCCCACTTACTAATCTGTTACCTGAAAATGAATTTTTACATCTGATTAATAGTTTAAACGAAAAACAAAGACAATACTTGTTAAATCTAATTAATTTTGTAAAAACTAACCCTCTGAAACCATTTTACCATTATATAGCTGGTGGGGCTGGTGTAGGTAAGAGCACTCTCATCAATGCAATTAAGCAAGTGCTTGAAAGATACTGGATGCATCAACCAAATAACAGTCCAGAGGATATACGTATTCTATCACTCGCTCCCACTGGAAAAGCTGCAACAGGCATAAATGGAACAACAATTCATTCAGCATTTGGTTTCGGATTTAATTTAAAAGAAAAATTACGTATTGGGAGAATGCTTAATTCAGATAACAGAAATACTTTAGCATGCACATTATCCAAACTAAAACTAATAATTCTTGATGAAATTAGTATGTGTGATTTTTATACATTTCAGTCAATGAACAATGTTTTACAAGAAATATATGAAAATCATCAACCATTTGGTGGAATTTCAGTAATTACAGTAGGAGACTTTAATCAACTACCTCCACCAGCTGGCATTTACGTATTTAAAACGCC